ACGGCAGTCAATCTACTACTTTGCTGCCTAGTTAAACAAATAACTATTTATTGTGATATAAGCCCATTGGACTTGCCCGGTTCTTGCACCAAGGTCTTCATTTATAAAGGGTCATAATAGTCGAGAATTCACAGGATCATTGAGAATGTCGAAGTTTTTTCGTTTATGTACATGTATAAGTACCTTAATGTTAGTGAGAGTCGGGTGAATTGTGATATTAAACTATTATTTTAAATGAAATCGCCTCAAGTTCAACGATCTTTCGTCGAAAATATCTTCCGACCACATTTTAAAAACTGTACTTTATAACTGAGGAACCAATGACTACATCTTATTATTACATGAAAAAAAAAAATCGATGCAGGTTGTCGCAAAATAACAGTCTCATGTGTATAATATGTATGTATGCTTAGATCAATCTATTTTGAAGGTCGTTTTATGAGATTGTCATTTGTGGACAACCTGTATGATAGACCAAAAAAAAATAATAGAAATTTATATATTGTCTGTATTATTACTGTATAAATAACCAGGAGGTGGTATTGATGAAAAATATTATAGATAAATAATCCTTTAGCTAACAATGAACGAAAATTCATAGAAATAAAATATCAGCTTCAGATTTAGAGTACTGCATTCATTATCTTATTGTATATGTCACAAAATAATGATAATTTTTTATTCTCGTATAGAACTTAGGAATGTACCTGTGTAAGATTATATGAACGTTTGTATATATTTCGGTAACAATAAAATAGATTGCTATCGTAGAACCATTTTTTTTATAATTCCATTTCTACCCTAGGTACCTATTTTATTCGCTCGGCTTTGATGTGCTAATTTATTGAATGTTATCAGGGTAAGTTTTTTTTACTATTAATTCCCGTTCATCGATCTAGGGATTTTGTGTATTTGAAGATTATTACTTCAGTCCAGGTTTGCTTTATTGAAAGCTTGCCAGACATTTTTTCATTCAATTCTCTTCTCTGAAAAAGTGATGATCTCAATCTTATGAATCAGATGAAAATCAGTTTTGGTTTCATTCTGTCACTTGGTGTGTCAGTTTGATTTGACAGTTTATTTTGAAAGATTTTCGAAAGCTTTCCAAAGTATAATTTATGGATCTTCAAAAGAAATTAACCAGTTGAAATGGCTTATTCAATGTATGAACATTCTTTGATGAAAACTGAGAAACATGTTCGATACTTTCCGGAAGAAAATGTAAGTAAATCAAACTAAAGCGCTCTGTACTCTATTCCTGAAATATATGCGAATTTCACAGGCTGTGAAAATATTTATCCGAAAGTTTCAAGCTCTTTTTAAGATTTCTTTGGTATTATATCACCGGTATACTTCGAACGTATTGAGGGATTACTATCGGGCTGGAAACAATATATAACATTAAACTTGGAATATATTTGCAAGATGCATGTCCAGCATATAAAGAACACCTAACATTCCAGTTTTCAGGTCATCCTGAGGTTCGATGAAGAACGAGAATATAATTGAAAAATCGTAAAGATTTTGGTCCGAAACGAACGACAATTTTGATTTTTAGGTCTGAAAAAGAAACGAGGTACCCCTTTGAACTTTGTTCTCTCAGCTCGAAGCGTCAGATAAGCAGAAAACTTGTATATACAGAATGTTCTCTACGTGCTGAACCAGAAACTAATGTTGGCTTTTCTCTATCTCGGATAGTTTTCGAGATATTGGCATTTTTAAGAAGAATCTGAAACGTACTGCTGAAAACTTCTTTAAAATATCTCAATTCGACTGCAGTACGCTTCCATGAACACGATTTCATATTATTTTCAATGTTTAACGAGATAGAGATCGTAAAAATGTTGGTCCGAAACAGGGGAAAATCACTTTTTTCTCTCAATTTTGGGACTAGAGCTGTGCTTCTAGGCTAGAGGATATGCGTCTAAACTCTAAAGGGAGCTAGATAATAAATTTGAAAGCCCTACGACATTGGGTCTGAATAAGAAACAAGGTTTTAACCCTTTGAACATTTATCACTCAGCTCGAGGCGTCAGAATGAGCTGAAATCTTGTATACAGTATAATTATGTTCTCGATGTTGAACAAGATTCGTCGGATTTCCTCTCTATCTCTGATTTTTATCTCTTGGAGCGCACGATAAGAAATTCCTATAATGTTCGTGGATGTTGGATATTTTGTTCAACTTTTGGAGGTTATAAGTTCTTGAAAATTCTTCGAGATATTAGCATGAGAAATCTGAAAACTGCTGATATCTTCACTAAAAGATACCAATTCGTCTCCACTCTCTCCTGAATTCGATTATTTTTAATGGTTTCACGGAGATAAATATCGAAACGAGATTAAAAATTACATTTTCCAAAATTTTGGTACTAGAGAGCTGTGCTTCTAGTCTGCACTAGAGGATGCCTAAAGGGACCTAAATACTAAATTGGAAAGCCCTATGACAAAGTTGATTTTTGGGTCTGAAAAAGAAACAAGGTTAACCCCTTTCAACTTTCATCACTCAGCTCGAGGCCTCCAAATGATCTGAAAACAACTTGTATACACTACACAGGATGTTCTCGATGTGCTGAACAAGAATCTGAAGTTGCTTCTCTCCTAGTTTCCTAGATATTCGCATTCGCAATATAGAGAACTTTCATTTACTCGGCAGTAGGGAATATCTCTAAGAGCCTGCTTTCAGAGTTTGAATAAGGATCTCTACATGAAAGTGCCCCATTTTTTGTAGTATTATCCTTGATTATATACACTAGTGTGAATACTCAATGGTATTATCAATTCTTCCTTTCTCGTGTAATAATATGGTCTTGCTATTTCTCTCATATCAACCTATTTATCGAGAACATCCTGCGAGAGTTCTGAGGTCATTCTGAGATTTAATTATTTATGTTGTTGTGTGAATATCTATTTTTAGGACTACACAGAGCAAAACTACAATCACTTACAGTCTCCTAGAACAGTTACAAAAATGAAGAAATTTCCGCATTCGATAATGTACGAAAACGAAAGAAAATGTCCAATCTATATCCACCAGTTCAACAAATCACCAATCTCAAGCATCTACGCTAACTATTCATCTATAAACGAACCGAATCACATCCAATCTAAAAAACCATCTAGGCCCAACTACAATAAACCCCAAAATTCTAAGCAGGTTCTCGATAAACTCGAAGAGACCTATTGGGCCACCTGGAAACCAAGCAAAGATTCCAAAATGAAAACCAACTACGAAAACCAAAAATATGGGAAGACAACGCGCGGTAAACTGGCAGAAAAACTTATAAAATACTTCGAAGTGCCTGATTTCCTAACTACCAGCGCATCTGCTACAGAAACAGAAACTGTCCAACCTAGCAACACGTACAAACAGTACGAAAGTATCACACAGGAAATACAAACAGACGATTTGTACCCAGTAAGTTTCACAGAGTACGATAGTACCGTGCAAATAGCATCAGAACCAACAGAATCCACAGAAAATATTCCAGAAGAAACGGAAACAGCCTCACAAGAAACAGTGTCAGAGTACCAAAGAGAACCAGAGGAAAACGTGATAGTAGAACCCACCAAAGAAAATAAACCAGAAACTGAGATAACAGAGGAGTACAGGAAAAAAGGTTATGTCGAAATCACAAGTGATGAAAGCCTCCATACATCCAATGAAGGCTCAATAACGTGCAGCAATAAAAACGAAGAAAAAAAAATTCTAAATCACACAGACTCGTTCATCATCACCAAAAAGAAACAGAGCTTGGTGAAAGAGTACCTTCAACAGCCCAGGTGCATAAAATTGTACAAAAAAACGGTGAGCAGCTATTTGAAGGGTGGGTCTTACCCTCTGAAACCCTGCCTGAAGAAAGAAACCACTGTTAGAGGGAATTTCAGGCTTGGGGCACCCGGTAGCCCCCTGTTCGTCACTGGAAGTTCGTTCAGCAGAAAAAACGTGAGATAATTATGTGAAACATATTACTGACCGAATATACGTTCTTTGTACGTTGGACAGGTTTTATTTTATTGAAAGTCGGATAGTATGTCAACATAACAGAGCATATCTTGTGGATATCCGTTTCATGTCCGGGATATCCCTGCATTCGGAATGGACATCCATATAATATCCATCAAGGAACTGTAATGAATATCCTTCAGAACATGTTTTATGCACAGAAACAAGATATCCAAAGCAAACATGAGGTTTGTTCGCGTTCGAAAAATAAACAGTCCGAAACCATCAGAAGCCTGCGCAGTTCCACGGAACTTGATAAATTCGTACTGTTCTGTGAAATTGCGCATACTCCTGATGGTTTCGGACTGTTTATATTTTGAACGCGAACAAGCCAATGAATTCAAAGATCATACACACTTATTATCTTTTGTTTCAACATGAATAATGAATGTACCACCTCCTCGATTAACCTACAGACAGTATGAATCTTTGTTTTTCAACTGTTCCCTATTGATAATGAAGTGAATACATTCCATCAGACTGTTCAATTCCCTATTGTTTGTAACATGGTAAGACACTATTTGAGAAATCTTAAATTATCCAAAGTGGTGGGGCCTCAAAAATATATTAGACGACGACGATATTATATCATCTGAAAGAGCAAAATGTTCTTTGAATCATGTTTCTATGATTCGTCGTGTTTGCCCAATATATATAATGTCATGTTACAGTCATCAGAATTAATTTTATAAATTTCTCAGCTTATCATTAGTATCAATCAGGGATAATCAATTAACCCATTCCTACATATATAGTTCCCAATATCTCAATGGTTATATCCTTGAAAGATATCTTGTGGACATTTGTGAACAATGTCTTATGGATATCCCTGAGGATATCTTTGAAGAACATCTGCTGTGGATATCTGTGAACAATATCTTACGGTTACCTTTCTCCAAAATTAATATCTTATACAAGTTGAAACCTTGTTTGAATCCACCACAAAAGATGAATTCACAATTATTATGACAAAAAAATATGAACAATACTATAGTTACCATAGGTTTGTTTAATCTATGTAGTTACTAAATAAACTTTTATTATAAATTATATAGAACACATACTGAGCTACACTCTTTGTTGGACGGGTTTAGTATTTTTGTCAGTTCCAAAAGGAACCAATTCTTCTTCCTTATTCTCGATGGCCTCTCCAGTTACAAAGGTTTCTCCCAATCGGATATGTTCTTTGATTATGACCGAGTATTTTTTCAAAAGATGGCTTTCTTCTCCGTTCACTTTGGGCATGTGACTGGACAATATACCGTGTCGACCTAAAAGGTATATAAAATAATAACTTTCATTTCAAGCAAACATGCCAGAGAAAACAAAAATAAAATTAAAAAATATGAGATATGTAAAGACATTGAGAGAAACCTGACAGTTACTAAAGATGTCTCACAAAATGTTTATGTTAAAACATATTTAAAAAAACGCTAAGGCACAATCCACTTCTGCAATAGAAGCCAATAGGTACTGCTAATAGATTGAAAATGTCTACAACACACACGATCATATTTCGTCAGCATGTCAGACCAGTCCTCCCGTTTGATTGCATGAATCCAATCTTCTTGCATTATTTCAGAAATTTCACGAGTATTTCTATAAGCTCCTATTGCAGAAGGAATTTCTACGAGAAATCAGAGAAATTACCAACTTTCAAAATTAAAACTATATAACTTTCAAATCATACTGTACCAACCGGATTCCTTCGTCTCTCGCTGCATTATTTGTGCATTGAACAACAGCACAATGTTATGGTATGCAAGAATTAATGAATAGCCGAAAAACAGGATTCGTATGCCGAAATAATTGTGAAAAACTAATTCAATTATTTGTAAACAAATAAGAAACAATAGAAGTGAGGTTGTGTTTCAATATTTCACCTCCAGGGTCGATCATCTCTGACAGTTCTTGCACGCAACCCATAGGGTGAATCATGAACGGTTGTAGAAAAAATAAATACCAATAAGTGACATATTAGATTTAGAAGATTTAGAATGGGGCCTTCGGGCTATCTGCCTCCACACCGCGACCTTTTCAGATCTATTGTGTCTGTCCTCAAAATCGATTAGAGTTCTTCAGCTAGCCCCGCCAAGTGACATATTACTTGTATTATATATATTTGTGCAGTTATAGAAAAAGTATAGTGTGGAACATGTGGGGAAAAGTACTTTTTCTACAAACGCTTAACAAAGTAGTCTTTGACGCTTTCAAATTCCAGCACAAAGTTGACGTTTTCCCAGAAATGTCATTCTTTGACAGCATTTGCGCTCGTGAGCGGAAATATTGAAAAAACGCTCGCTTATCTCTGTAACCTATACTTATCTATTCTTGAAAACCCCCAATTCTTTCATGATGGAAAATAGTGACAGTGAATCATCAAACACACCTCCTTCCTGATGATATAGCAAAAAGCGCAAGAGTTTGAATCTCTTACCGGAGAAATCAAGGAAGAAATATGAATTACAATATGATACATTCATAAATTGGTGCCACTCCGAGATGGTGAATATGTATTCATATAACATTTTACTGGCTTATTTTGGTAAAAAATCAAAGATTTTGAAGTCATCAATTCGTCTATTTATTCGACGGTACGTATACATGCTTGAATGTTAAAGATAATATCGGAATCAATAAGTATCTGAAACTTATCGCATTTCTCAAGAAACAATCTATTGGATATAAAGCGAGAAAAATCCAAAACATTCACTACTGAAGATATATACCAACAAATTTCTACAAGAAGCTCCCGATGAAGCATATAGCTGTTGTCATCAGAAAGACAGTGTATCTTTATTTTATTGCATCAATGAGGAATGTGCAATTTGATTGCAGAGCTTATCGTACTATGGCTCAGAGGTCTGAAGCTCAGGTTGCCACGCTGGTGGTCCAGTTTCAATTCTCGGTAGGCCCGACATTTTTTTTCTGGCTTGTCAGTTATTTCAAATTTTTTTTTGGTTCCTTTGGACATATGGGATAATATGGATTAGAACTTTCTCAAATATTTCAATCGCTCATACTTTCAGGGTAGTTATTTCCAAAAGCTGCGTTAGTAGAAAAAATCTTGTGTGTATTTCGAGCACAGTGTTATTGCCGCTCTCCAAAGATTACCGCGCTCCGCTCCGCATCGCGCGGTAACTTTCTTTGTCGAGCGGCAATCTATCACTTTGCGCTCTAAATACACAAATAGCTATCTCCACTTGTCATTCGGAAACCAATGTCAACATTGAGATTTTTTCCTGTTGAACATACCTAGTCTGACAATAGACGTCATGTATGGCAAAAACTGTCCGATATGGCCGGTCTGCCGCACGAAGGCGCACTCCACGCAATTCGTCTCCCCTTGCAGGGCCTTCAGCAGCGTGTTGACGAACCTGGAGATGGCCAGGGCCGGCGTGAGGCAGACGGTGCCGCAGTCCGCGTACAGCTTCAGCACGTCGTCCTCGCTGTTTCCGATGCACTTTTGCAAACCGCCTCGTCCTGTCTGAAAATGGACATACAGTGTGTCCCACTTACCATGCTCACCATGGGTATCTTTTTAACGGTGAGAGATACGAGGTCGGTTAAATGACACCAAATGTGGAGTTTGTCAAGGCCAACTATAATGTGAAAAAATATTTCGATAAAATCTATTCGTTTTTGTTTTATATGCAAAAACAGATTTTGATCATTTTCATGTCTCCTCCGTAACTTCTTTATTTATGAAAATATTCAAATAGGAATTTCACATTTTCATGGCAGTTTTTCAAAGTGATTTCGAAAAAATTATGAAATTTATACCAACTCTTCTAGAATTTGAGATATCAGCACCAACTTTAGTTTTTCAAATGTAGGTCACAGCTCACTATGACTTAGTTACAAATAACTTTTTTTTCTCTAACAGATGATGTGTCGCAGTGATAGTTTTGTGTTGATAACAACGGAGTTATCGTCATTTATACAAAAACAAAAAAATATTTGGAAGCCGCCATCTTGAATTTATGAATTTTAACAAAAAAATTATGATCTTCGACCTCAAAAACCCCTACTTACCAATTTTGAATGGAATCGGACCAAATCTTGTCCGCCATCAATTAAAAAAAATGGCTGCTCCAAGATGGCGGACAAGATTTGGTCCGATTCCATTCAAAATTGGTGAGTGGGGGTTTTTGAGGTCGGAGATCATGATTTTTTTGTTACGATTTATCAATTCAAGATGGCGGCTTCCAAATAATTTTTGTTTTTGTATAAATGACGATAACTCCGTTGTTATCAACACAAAACTGTTACTGCGACATATCATCTGTAAGAGAAAAAAAAGTTATTTGTAACTAAGTCATAGTGAGCTATGACCTACATTTGAAAAACTAAAGTTGGTGCTGATATCTCAAATATTAGAAGAGTTGGTATAAATTTCATATTTTTTTCGAAATCATTCTGAAAAACTGCCATGAGAATGTGAAATTCCTATTTGAATATTTTCATAAATAAAGAAGTTATGGAGGAGACATGAAAATGATCAAAATCTGTTTTTTGCGAATAATACAAAAACGAATAGATTTTATCAAAATATTTTCTCACATTATAGTTGGCCTTGACAAACTACACATTTGGTGTCATTTAACCGACCTCGTATCTCTCACCGTTAAAAAGATACCCATGGTGAGCATGGTAAGTGGGACACACTGTATACAGGGTGTTAACAAATAAGTGTCACAACGGAAAGCTGTAGATTCCTCATGAAAAAAGAAACATTTTTCCCTTTCGAAATTTTTCTCCGGGCTCCCGTTTTCAAGATACAGGGCGTCAAAAAGATACAGAAAAATCTGTTTTTGCTACTTTATCAGGAACCGTTTGAGCTACGGAGTTAAGCCTTCGTACACACTTTATCATCAATAATGACTACTTTTAGGTCTCTTGATAAATTTCCTTGGACATGTCAGTGGAGGAGAATTCAACGCCTCGTAAGGGTTTAACCCCCCAAACATTTATGCCACTGGAGAAATTGTAATTTTCAAAGTAGATTCTGAAGCGCCAATATTTTTCACACAAAAAACGTCCTCTTGTCTCAATGCTCTAAAGTGAACAGTTTCCGCGAAAAATGACTCTTTATGAATAAGAACATACAAAATCCTGAAAATCTCCAAAAATCGTCTAAAAATCCACTGGAAATAAACACCTCAGAACTGTCTGATAATATGTTCAATAAAATGTCAGGTTCTTGAGTATGCTGGTCTCGGTGCTGGTTTTCAGATTGTTAAGTTTATTAAGTGTTGTAAAGTGTGTTTAATTAAACTGAACATTTTTGATTTTTTGACGCCCTGTATCTTGAAAACGGAAGCCTGGAGAAAAATTTTGAAGAGGAAAGAAATGTTCATTTTATTATGAGGAATCTACAGTTTTCCGTTGTGACACTTATTTTTCAAGACCCTGTATACAGGGTGATTCAAAAGTACTTTGACAAACATCAGGAGGTAATTCCTCACAATGTTTTAATATGAATTGTTCAAATAAGTATATGTCCGGAAACGCTTCGTTTCCAAAATACAAGGTGTTAAAATTTGAACTTGTTAGGAATAATTGCTGTTTTTTCCTTTGTTTAATTTTTTATGTTATTTTTTGATAGGTATCATTTGGTTTTTACTCATTTCTTGATGAAGAAAATCTAAATTTTCAGTGATTTTATTAGTTATTTATCTCACTCTGTAGCCAGATATTCTAATCCTGACTACCATCATGCCTGATATCATTAAAATTCTAAGAATTATCATACACGGTGACTTGAAAAGTGCAATTATTCAAAAATTGTAACGTAAAAAAAACACCCCGTATGAGATATTGTTTTGAAAATTATTTTAAGAGTAATTGTGACTACGCCGAATCGATTGCCTACATCAAAATTTTCGTAAAAAAATGCCTAATCCGTTTTCTTCAATTTTGCTGGAGTTTTTGTGATCGCAGTAGGCTAAGAAATTGTAATTGATGGACTTTATTTGCTCGAAAAAGTAGATAATTTTGAGTAGTATACTGTGAGAAAAAAAATTCAAATCGCCCTAGGAATACAAAAATACAGGGGTGGGGTGGACCAAATTGTATCACACTGTATATACCACATTCAATCCTTTGGGTCTAACTTGTGACAAAACTGCTACAACACAATCTGAGCTCAGGCCTCCAACAATCGGACAGACTATATCAGAAGCATTTTTGCCGGTATTCACTGCCACATGACTGTTCGCTCTCATGGACGCCACACTAGTTATTCCTATTATTTTCCTGCTGTCGTACACTCCGGCTTTCTTGTATTCCTAAACAAAGCACAAAATAACTTCAGTCGGGAACCAGGATATTTTTTCTTGTTCCAACCAAAGTGATAGGTACCAATAAAAAATGTAAATTGAAAATAAAATAAAATTGGCCACAAAAAATAAGACAAGTGTCTCTGATTTATTTCGTTATGTACAGGGTGTCTCCGTATATTTTGTCCCCACCTACAGATTGTCGGGTTTCATCTGTTTACTTTGAATAAATAAATACGAATCGCAAAATCGAAAAATGGTCCAAGTCAGTTATGTTTCAATGGAATACCCTGTATATATCCAATTGTTGTGGAAGAATTTTTTCTCCTGTTCACAAACTATTATTTATATAGTTCGCTAATATATCCTCAAGCCATTTTTCACTTATTTAGCATTAAATCAAAGTTGCCAATAACATTCAGATGGCTGTGGACACATCAAAAATGCCATGGAAACGAAACAGGCATTTTTTGACATCTCTCTCAGTTTTTCAGTCAAAATGGGTTATTCCGTAGAGGAAAAATACGAAATAGTAAGATGTATATTATGTTATTATAATATTGCAAACATTTCAGTAGTGCAGCAAGAACTGAATGGGAACATTAGCAAACTATACAGGGTGATTCATTGGGAGATGCGCATGCAGTAAGAGTAGATGGAGGTTACCAAGGTGCTTCTGAATAATCTATATTTCATTGATCTATAATTCTTTATAACCAAGATACAGGGTGATTTATTGATTTTCCCAATTTTTCAATCAATCATAACTTATGAACCACCTTATACATTTTTTTGATATTTGGTTTGTATGTTCTTTGCCCACAGTGGTGACGATTGACATAATGAAAAGAAGTCTTATTCCAGGGCCGACCTTGAAAAAATTAATAAGTAGGTTTCGCCTCGGAACAACACCCTGTATATCAATATTTTAAAATCTCATTTACAAATTTGGAAAGAGCAGGAAAAAATAAGTAAGACGCCCTCTTGTTTGAAAATAAAATATAAAAAAATTACTGAAATTGAGAATTTGCATTCTCCTTCAGACAAAAATATGTATATGCACATATCACTCTGAATATTCAACAGAAAACTCTTATCGTGTGTGTTCAATAGATATAATTCAATGTTCGTCGTGGCATATAGCCAGGAAAGTAGTTGTTTTCTATTGAATAAACTGAAAAAGAGTAGATATTCTCATCACATAGAGAATGCGAATTATCAATGTATTGCTTCATATAAATATATATCCATTTTTGTATGTCCATAATTTATCTGAGAATATTCCTTTTCAACACTTTCATACCCAATCAGGGGGTTCAAACTTGAAAGATGGAAACTTGTGATTTTTATAGACCTCTAATCGCAGATTCGTGATAGAGTCTCAATTCAGAATTTCTTTCCACGCCCTGTATGATGAATGTCAATTTATCATACACCCAAAAGATATTTATAATTCAACTTTATGATCCTCAATCGAGCAAACATCCATTAAATCATTAATGTCTGAATGTTCAACAATAATTTTGTTTTATTTCTCGGAGCGCACGAAAGAAAATTCCTATTATGTTCGTGGAATATCGTGCGTATCTAGGAAGGATAGGAAGGATAGGGGGATGCTCGGCTACGCCTCGTTAAAAAAATCAGATCTCGTTCACCAAAGTAGCATTTCGCGCTCCAGATACAAAAATAACTATTTTGTTCACCAATATAAGATTAATTTGTAAACATCTGATATTATTTAATGAATTTAAATATTATATTGTAAACGAATTTGTTATAATAGTATTGTCATTATTGTGAACTACTTCATTATATTAGAACTGGAAGGTATATTTTCAATGAATAGCAAAACAAATAAATAACATAAATGTGGTTGTGTAACACTAGGAATGTGTAATATGACGCTGATAAATATGATATCAATACCAAATAAACATTAATAGGTTATCAAGGATAAATGTGGTGAGGTCCATTTGACGATGAAATAAAAGTAGATATTATACATAAACAGCACTTACTTCTGTTACTAGCGGTACCATTGCCTCGATAGGCGGTTTAGTAATGCAAAATATGCCTTTGGGATTAAATTCTATCATATGAAGGGCAGCTAGTCTGACATCATCGACATTTCTCTCAAACATCTGTTTCGGGGTTTCCCGAATAGATTCTTTGCAACCACCAATTGTTACAACTATATTAGCATCCTAAAAAAAATTAAAACTATCAAGTATTATTGTGAATGTTATTGAAGGGCTTATTGTGAAACAATGACATGACTCAGAAAGGTGAAAATTCGAGATATTTTACTTTGAATGTTTAAAATAATATATAAAATCCAGTATCAACTTCAATGGTTTCATTTATACTATATAGGTCGATGTGTGATGCCCTATGGGACTATATAGTTAACAAGAATATTAATAAAATTACTTCAAACTTGGGAAAAAACAGGCTTTATTCGAAAAAAATGTGATGGTTTATTGTTACATTATCCCATTTAGAATGACTACCCAAAATCTTATATATTGTTGCTCCAAATTTCGTCGAAATATTTGATCCCAAATACTATTAATTTCTTTGTCTTTGTCTCCATCGAATTGTTGTAATTTTTTCGGATGTGTGTTTTCTCCCATTTTCTTATTCATTCACAACAAAATGCACAAGCCACGTGACATGCCACTACAATAATACTTTTATTTCTGACAGTGACATTATAAGCTTATATCGTCATAGTTACGATATCTATAATGAGGGTCATAACTCCCTTGGGATGTTATAGATGCTATAATTCCCTCTAGCTAAAATTAAATAAGAAATGCATAGCAACAACCACGCAATAACGTAGCAATAAGGAATCTCCTATTCGCGGTAGTCAAGATCATCATCTGACGTTCTGATGACATTGAAACTATACGGAAAAACATGTCTAACTTCCAATCGGGAAGGTATCTAATGAATGAAATCAGTCAGAAATAAAATTATCTATGTATCACGGGAATTACTGAGCCTCAATAACCTCAGGCAATTGCTGTCCCTCGGGTCAGAGGCCCTCGGAACGCAAACTTTGCCATCGGTAATTAAGGCCCTCATAATTCCCTTAATACATAAATAACTATTAAACCCTAAAAATGTGACCGAAAGTAATGTATATCGTCTCTTGGGCTTCTAAACTCATAACAACGCGATTTTGTGGTTTTTCACTATCTTGACACCTTTGTTCCGGCGTTTCATATAAATTTTCATTAAACGCCAGTATGAATCAAAGTTCGAAATCAAGGGAACAATTATGTTTCTGGTGAAACAGTTGTGTGCCAAACATGCAGAAAACGCTTTAGCAGCCCTTAGCTACCAACTGCCATCGCTTCGCTCGTGCAGCTAATAGCCGCGGGCTGCTAAATCTCATTATCTGCCCTTGTGACACAATATACTATATTACGCTTTATTTTAGAATAATAATTTGACAAGCCACATTTTGGAAAAAAAAATCATACTGCTGTATTTTGATCACTCAAGTCACTTCTAGACTGTTCAAAGTTAGGGTCACGGTCACTGTCATTGAATGTCTACTCAACTTCACTATTTTTCTTGCTAGAATCGTCAGAATTCACAGCATTATCGGAACAGCAAAAAAATAGACCTATGTGACCACCGATAGGTTTTTCGCGCCATTCATTAACGAAGGCCCGTAATTTATTCATTTATTTATTTATTTATTATTTATTGAAAATGTCAGTCAGAATCAAGTTCTCGTATAAGGAAGTATTAGTTAACAATAATACCTAAAACTATACAATTATAATAAATTAATAAAGAATATAATATTTGAAAACATTAAGTATTAAACTTTGACAAATCATTTCATATTGGTGAGCAAAAATAAATTTGAATATGAACCAAATGTTGAAAAAAAAATCATCCATTTCGTTCAGAAATGATAAATTTTTCAAGTTGGTATTTGAATTTTATTGTATTTCTGCAATTTTTTATATTATCTGGTAATTTGTTATATTCCAAGAGAGCAGCGTGGGTGAATCTTTTTTGGCCTATAGAAGAATTAGCGATATCAAGATGAAATAGACCATGTTGTCTAGTTTGGTAATTATGAATTTCATTGTTTCGTGTTAAAATAAAATTAGATTTCAATCTTTTATTTATGATATTGTATGTAATTTTCATTCTTTCAATTTTGAACATTTCTTCTAATGAGGATGATTCAGTTATGTTATATAATTGATTCGTTGGTGTATCATATGGTAAACGATACAGTACTTTCAATGTATTTTTATATAATGCAGATATTTTATTAAAATTGTTTTTTGAACAGTATCTCCAAACATTTATCAGATAGTTAATACGACTGAGTATATGAGAATATAGAAGTATATTCGCAACTTTTTTATTCAGCTTGGGACATCTTCTCAGGGCTCCAATAATATGAGATATTTTTTTCGTCGAAACATTCATATGTTTGTCCCACTATAATTTATCATCAAACCAAATCCCAAGATACTCTTTCTCATTAGTTTGTTTCAAAGATTCATTTTCAATTCTGAGATTTAAATTTATATTTTGTTTATTTTTTTGTTGAAAAATCATATATTTAGTTTTATCAGTATTTATTGATGAGGTTTGAATGCAGCCATTTTTCAAATTTCATCAAGTCTTTGTTTATTATATTTTCTAAAATTATAGGATTTTTATTTTCATATAAAAGTACCGTATTACATTCTGTATCGATTTTCGTGATATTTTGAATATATAATAAATATAAGATTGGTCCTAAAACAGATCCTTGAGGGACACCTTTAGTCATCGGTAGTCTATGAGACTCTGAGTTGGTAGATTTGGTACTGATTGTCCTATTTTGAAGATACGAATCTAAAAGGTTCCTTATCATGCCTCTGAGTCCCATAGATTCTAAATTTTCCAAGTGTTATGTGGTCTACTGTATTGAAAGGTTTTTGAGATCAACAAAAATTGCTATCACATAATTTCCGATATCAAGTCCTTTTAGTATTGCTTGTATCACTTGTAATATTGCCGCTTGTGTGCCACTATTTTCTTAAAAACCAAATTGATTTATGTCAAAGTTATATTTTCTATTTATGAAATCTACAATGCGTTTTTCAAGAATCTTTTCAACAATTTTGGAAAATATGCTCAATAAGGCAATTGGTCTATAATTTTCTGGATCTTGAGTATCTCCACTTTTGTAAATTGGTCTTAATGAAGCATGCTTTAATTCTTGTGGAAATATACCACTGGTAAAACATTTATTGATTAATTTAATAACTAACTCAGCTTGAACTCTTGTGTGTGGCTGGTCATTGTTTCAGAATAAGCCTTCAATTGAAATAAACGTTATATTATCGTCTGAATTTACAAACAAAATATACTCACCATCACGGCATGTTTAAGTACGGGTCTTCCACCAAAAGATTTGACCTTGGTTCTTGTATCGATATGACTCAAGTCTTCTGCGATCGCACAAATATTCCTGTTTTTGTCATAAAGGCGCAACTCACCTATCAGGGGGCTCTGCTTCAATAGTAAGGCTAGATTTTTGCCTAGTTTACAAGATGCGTCCAAAATTGTTACGATTGAACTCGAGTTTGAAGAGGAGAATCTCGCGTTGGCCGAGAAAACTGTTTTCTTGATGAAAAGTGGTATTCTAGTAGGAAACATGATACTGGGAATTTGATAGTTCTTGCCAAAACTGACAAATCGATAGATGTCAATAATGATGTCATTGTGAAATACAACTTATATACAGGACGAATTTTAAAAGTTCACCCAAGTATTTATTTGCCAAATGGATCACCCTGTAACTTTTTCAATTCTTGCCCGATTCTGATGAAATTACGATCAAATCGTAGATCTATGTTTCGGAGTGTTAGCCTGAATGTTAATTCTTGAAAAAAGCTGATGGCATGATCATTATACAGGGAAAAATGAAAGGTAAAAGTGAAAGATTAACGTTGAAAAGGAATATTCTCAGATAAATTATGAACATACAAAAATGGATATATATTTATATAAAGCAATACATTGAGAATTCGCATTCTCTATGTGATAGAGTCTCAATTCAGAATTCATTTCCACGCCCTGTATGATGAATGTCAATTTATCATACACCCAAATGAAAGAGTAACCTCACCTTCATTATGTTTTGGATTGAAGTGTGCTCCTTTCTTAACACAATGGTTTGTGATTCACGTCAATAGGTATATTATTTTCAAGTGAAGATACGAGTGTTTTAAGAAATTATGGAATTTTTTAATTGTTATTAATAATAATTCAGAACCATTCTACAACATTCTGCTTCATCATGTTTAGGATAGAAATGTGATCCCTTTTCGTCCCTTCTCAACACAATGATTCTTGATTCACGTCAATATCTTCTTTGTTTATACGTCCATGGTTTGAAGGAAGTATTGAACTTTTCCATTTTCATCAACATTAATTCAGAACCTATTGAGCAACTTTGGGATGAACTCCAGAGGCTCATTCATAAAGAGATACGATTTGAGGTAATTTTTTCAAGGATGCTTGAGAAATTTGATTTACTGGATGCCACGGTCGAAGAGAGTATACTCGTCATTGACTACATCTAGGAGCCTAGGAGAACTGCTTTTCGTTTGTTTTTAGTGATCTGCTGATGAGGTTTATCTTTGCTGGTGAGTGCTAAAAAAACGGGGTGGAAATAAGAGATCAATTTTTAAATGTTTTTTCTAGTTGTTAATCGAGTTCATGTTTCTTCTGCAAATTTGAAAAATCGATATTTTCTCTAAACACTTGTATCTTCTCTATAAAGAAGATATTGATGTGAATCAAAAACTATTGTTTTAAAAAGGGGCCACACTTCAATCCAAAACATGATGAAGCTACGTTCAATCTTTCGCTTTTGACACAGGGCATTAGGAAGTTAAGCGTGAAATAGTTACTCTTGTTTTCCCCTGTATAATGATCAAGCCATCAGATTTTCTTGGGAACTAAAATTCAGGACGAGAATTGAAAAAGGTACAGAGCGATCAATTGGTCAATTTTTTTTGCTGGCCGGTTTTTTGGCCGGTGCGTGTATTATTTTCAGATGAAAAGTTATTTTCATTGAAAACCTTATGATTCCTAACTTTCCTAATCTTCTGTCCATGAAATACTGGTATGTGTGGGATTTCATGACATTAAAACGTTTTGTACTCCCTGGGTATCAGAACATTTTTACGAAAAATGAGCTATGGAATATTAAACAAAAGGATGCGTGCCAAGTCGCAGGATATCATCTGACGTTGCCATGTTATGAAAAGAAAGTCAGTTTTTCCAGTAAAAATATGAAAAAATAATTTCTCTAGATTTTACGGCTCTTAAGATATGAATAAAAATATCGATAGTCCGTGACACCTTGTTTGAAAAATATTTGAAGAAAAATATAGGTGCATTCAAAAAATATAAAAATTCACTTTATCCTTGGACGTTTCGGGAATAAATCTACTTTCGATCTCAACATAGGAATGTACAACCTACATTATAGCACCAAATCAATGTACAGAGTGACCCGTTCAAAAGATGTCATGTCCTTTTATTTTTGTAACCCTCAAATTTTTTTCCAATCATAATTTTTTCTTGGATAATTTTTCAAGTTATTTTTTTCTTAAATCGACAAAATACTGGGTAGGTCAAGAATTGGGCTTGTCAAATGAATTGAAAAATTGTTTTTTTGTTGTTTTATGTACAGGGTCCCAATCGTTACCCCCTCAATACATTCAGTTTGTTGCCAAACTTCAAGGGGTGATATTTTGATTGATTTTTACACACAATCATTCAGATAGTGGCAAAAGTGTTTCATTCTGATAAGAAACAAACATGTATTAAACCCGCCCATTAATTCTTTTTGACACAACTATATTGGGAATTAAATGTTTACTGAAACATACTGATACCAGACAAGCATCCGCTGTTATCTCAGAATAACCATTAATTTTATTACTTTATTGACACGCTAAATACTTTCTAGGTATCCTGGTCAATACTATTTAGAACATTATAAAATATTGGGTTGATTGAAACCAAAACCTAGTTTAAATTGAATTGTATTACAACCGCATTTTTTACACTAATACCTACAAATCCCCATTATTTCTGATGAAATTCCCAATAAATTCATATGAATTAGTCAGTGATTCAATTCGTGAATTTATTCAAATTTTTGAAGATGATAAAAACTTGTTCCTTGTTACGTTTTTGTATTCTGCTTAGGTAAATGAAGTTAGATTTATTTTCACTGAATTATACTGAACTGCCATTCTGAAAAACTTTTCTTTTCACACAGTTGCAACTGGTTGCAACTGTAAATTGGGCAGAGAACACTTATTTTTTCAAAACACCTCCTTTTATAGTAGACATGGAGAAGATCTTACTAGTCTCAATATAAAAAAAAAGGTTAGAATGTCCTTCTGCTCCATTTCTTCTCATTTTCTTTGTCACTAACATGAGATTTCAATGATTTCATTCTGAACCAACTGAAAAATTTCACTCCAACTGAACTGAATCAGTTACATTGCATTCTTCAGAATTAGGGTCATTTACCCAAAACTTGTTGGTGAACCAAAACAGATTTTCTTGGATCACATTGTTTAGTTGTCACACTCTTTCAGTTTTGTCTGTCTGTTGAAAGAAAAAAATGAAAACCTAGTTGAAATTAAAGTTTTGTATTACACATGCTCTAAGAAATATAAACAAAAGCTTTCAAAAAACCCACCAGGAATAATCACACCTTTTTGCCCCTAAATCTACAACTTGAACTGAATAAGTTACATTGCATTCTTTGGAATTAGGGATTTAAGGGGGAGACCACTGATTTTTTGAAACGACATTATCGTGAACTCTATACTGAAAAACTACCAGTGAATTAATTTTGAATTTTTTCATTCATGCTAAGACGATGAAAAAAATAAATTAGAATATGTCCATTTCTAAACACACAATTCCTGCGCCATTTGAAATTTTGTCAATTCATTGGTGAGACTGGTGCGACGTCTTAGTCCCAACACGCCTATTGTACTTGAACTCACCAATCACACTGCAACACTGCAGAATGACGAGGTATCAGAGAGAGATAGCTACAGTGCGGGACTAATACGTCACAGCTCCACCATCATATGTGGCTTTTCGAAATAACGAATGAAATATGCTGATTTCAAAACGATATAGATTCGATTACCTTCAACTTCAATTCAAAATATTGATTGTAGATCAAACGTAAATCATGATTCGTCGATTGAAAGAGGTTTGCACGGATTTCTTCCCTCAGTGGTCTTCCCCATTGTTGGTGAATCAAAACAGAGATTTTCTTAACTACATTGTTTAGTTGAAAACGTTCTTTCAGTTTTGTCCGTCTGTCCAAAGTACAAATTAATTCCTAGTTAAAATTGAAATTTTGTATTACACATGCTCTAATAAAAAATATGAACAAAAGCTTTCAAAAAGCCCACCAGACAAAATCAAACCTTTTCGCCCTTAAATCTACAACTTGATAGCCTCGGCCAACGAGCAAGACAGCCCGGTACCGTCAGGCTCCACCTGCAACGACTCGATCTTCCCATCGGCAATTACCATCGAGTACCGCTTGCTCCTCACGCCACCTAGCGGAGCAATATCCACCGACAAGTCCAGGGCCTTGGCCAGGGCGGCCGAGGGGTCGGCCAACAGCCGGATCTTGCCGGCCGTGTTCTGGTCGCGGCCCCAGGCGGCCATCACGAAGGGATCGTTGACGGACACGCAGACGATCTCGTCGATGCCTTGGGACTTCAGGTCGTCGGCTTTCTTCACGTAGCCGGGAAGGTGGGTCTGTAAGAGGCGAGCGGGAACTCAACAAGGTGGATTTTGTACAGGCTGTCCCATTTTCGAAGCAGGGGCGTCGATTTTTTTTTTTCTTGGGGGGAGGGGGTAATGTCTTTTTGATTTAGGTAATGAAAAAAAATTATAGTCAGCCTAAATAATATACAGGGTGCCTGTAAAAGGTTGGGACATGGCTTGATTGTAGACTCCTGAGATAAAAATAAGTTGATTTTAGCTAGTGTTCCTTGATGCAAACTGACGTATTTGTCATTTAACAGGGTACGGACAGATCATAGCCCCTTTCTTTTTAGATCATCTAGTGACTTTGGTTTCGTGTATTGGCGTCCCTGACATGACATTGCTGTCACGTCAATACAAAGACCTTTCAGAACCATTTCAGATTGACTCTCGAATATTTCCATGAGTTATATACACAATTTTTTCCTCTTTTGTTGGCTCATCTTTTTCATCAGTAGGTACCTGCCTGTTCCCTATTCCGCATCTACTATTTCTATTCTACAAAGTTTTTGATTACAATACAATTATTATGATGTATGTCAAATAACCTAATTTGTCAAACATTCCACCACGCATTCGATGTCCTAAGACGGAATAGCCAGTGCCACCAGAATGATAAAAAATTCCACAGAATAGTCAATAAAACGGCGATTCTGTCCCACTGGTGACACTATAGCAAAGTCAAAAAAACGCAACTATTCATAGGCGTTAAAAGAGATCTTACAAAATTTTAATTTCATACTTGATCTTAATACAACATTATTCAATTCTGTTTTGAAAGGATGGTAAAATGAGCTGAGTTAGCCTGTATCAATCAGTTGGATGGCAAATTTGAATTTGTCAGCTTTCCATCAAATGCAAATTAACTTAGAACATGGAAAGTAAAGTGATCGAATGGAGAAAAAAAAAAGAAGTTATAACTCAGAATTTTAAAATTCCGAGATATAAGTCGGAATTTTGATGTAAAATTCCGTGCAATAACTCGGAACTTTAATGTGAAATTCCGAGTTATAACACGGAATTTTAAAATTCTGAGTTATAACTCGGAATTTTAAATGTAAAATTCCGAGATATAAGTCGGGATTTTGAAATTCCGAGTTATAACAAACTGAAGAGTTGATTTTTTTTTTCATTTTACGTGTCCCTTCCAGGCCTTCGTACCTTCCAGGCCTTCGTATATTCATAATAAAAACCGATCTTTTTTTAAAGTTTCAACACACTGTATGTTGATAACTATGCATTTTCGGACCCACGTACATATAAAATGAATTTCTTATTTTATCATGGGGAATCACCTCCTTGATGTTTTGCGCATAATTTCCGGACACCCTGTATAAGTGAAAAAATATATCAAACCCGGAAACGCTGAATTCGTCATGATAATCCCTAACCGATTATGGAATAAAATACAAGGGCTGTCAAATGTAATCTATTAGGAAGGTGCTTCAATGCCATTCAAAGCAGTTTTCTCATTTTCTGATTATCTTGTCAAATAAGCTAAGTATTACCTGTATACGCTATCTTGGGACACCCTGTATAGATACAAGGTGACACTAACAATTTCTTTTTATTATCTCAACTCTAACGACAGCGATTATCAACTTTTTATTTTCAAGTACCATCGTAATTTTTTTTTCATAGATTTTTTTCCAAATGCAACGATGTATTAAAAGTCGATTCCTCATGCTCCGTCGTCAAGAAATGGATAATTCATTATAGTTTTTTTCTCGTTTGTAGTTTATTAAGAGTCAATTGTTTTCAATAAATCATTTTCTCAACATTACAGCGTCTTTTTTATGAGGAACGAACTCAACCTTCGATGACTCAATAGACAATTTGATGATTGATAAAAATTGATTTTGACCCTACCTAGTACAGGGTGATTCACCATGAATGTCCCCCCCTCTAGCTCACTTATTTTCGAACCGATTTAAAAATTTTAAAAATCTAAAATGATTTTTCAGAAATTTTCTTCCCGTTGCATCAGAAAATACAGGGTGTTCGGAACAAACGATCTACAGAGTACTACTTGATTTTTTTTAATGGAACACCCTGTATTTCATCAATGTATCACACTTGTGGTATAGCGGGAATGATTACAGATATAGGGTGTTCAAAATCGAGATTTTTCAGCTTTAGGATTTTTTTGTGTGGAAACTATTCCATACATTATTATATAAAAATAATTGATTTCATATGATTTTCTTACTAGGTTTTCCACCTATCAATTTTACGTCTACATGTTCATGTGGATGAAAAATTTCCAAAAAATGTGCTGGTTACCATAGTAACAATGTGGAAATAAAGCATCTGATTGGTTGAAAATGACTGGAATCGAATTTTCAGATAAAAACGATATAATTTCTCTTGACATCCCTTAGAAGAATTAGTCCTGAAGTTCCACATTGAGACTAAGAAATGTGAGTCTGCTGAAATCTGTTGATAACATGAGGTTTTCAATTTGTTCATATATTCAACACAATGTTTTTCAAATGAAAACAGGCCATAGCCTTTGACATTGACCTAATGTCTAGTGACAACTGTCAGTCCCCATCCCCTTAAATTCTCACAATACACACAGTTGAACTATCTTGGAGGAATAATAAATATTTCTGTTTAGATAAACGGGGTGTTTCATTTGTCCAATAATGACTTGATCAAGAAAAGTGGAGAAATTGCCAACCCTGTGAAAATTTCAGTATGTATTGATATTTGAATCACATTAATCACAAATATTTGAAATTCACTAATTTCAATACCACAAATAAACAAAATATCTTTGTTCTTGAAATGCAATTTATACTTGATATTTTCAAAACAAATATAAGTACCTAGAAAGATTAAAAAAGATAATAGGTCCCAGGCCTACATCATTATTTGACTCTATTTTAATGACCTTCAATAAAAATAGATTGATTCCTATTCCTATGAAACTTTGGAAACTTTCCTTCATAAAGAGGGAAGGATTATTACTTCAAGTGAATAGCTAATAAATTGTTGTAATGCATAGGTATTCATGATATAAGAGTGTGAACACAATAATAATTCATTGATAAATATTTATTGTGTTCCACATGATTGTGAATTCAATTATCCTATTACTATACTACTTATTCATTTTTCAAGGCTTCACTATCATGGACATTGTGGTTTGTGGTATTTGTGGTCTTAACCGGTCTTACCTTTGAACAACCTGGCGTGAAGGCTCCAGGTACTGCAAATAGAATGATCTTCTTGCCAGAAGACAACTTTGCCAAATTCACCTTATTTGTTGGAACATCTTCGTATAGGTCTACACTTGGAACTGCATCACCAACCTATAGTACAAATAAATAAGAACTTAATGGTAGGTACATACTCATTATTCTATTCAATCATTTCATCAAGACTAAGGCCAGCTAAAAATTTATGTCATCATGTTTGGAAATGTGAGGTTGACAAGAAATGTTGTTACATTATATAACTATAAAAAAATATTACCTGAACCATGTTTGCTGAAGAATTCTGAAAATATCGGGAAAACACACTACACGGGCTCTTGATTCCTCGAGCTACAATCTTACTAACATTCATATCGGAAAAACCGGTTTTATATAAGCAAAAACTTTTCCTCTTTTTTACTTTGTGAGTTGTGACACAGAACAATGACAGTCAAGAGAAAGATAGTTAGTTTGACCTTGACTTTCACTGTGCCACCAATGCGTAGTTGACTCATTTCTGCTGGAATGATGGTTCTATGCCGAAAATATACAATTTCCTTGCCATTTATACAAGGTCAATTGTATATTGATTGGCATCAGCTCGGCTCGGAGCTCTCTCTAGCTTGATTTGATAAATAAAAAAATGCTCGCTTTCTTGCATTACTCTTACTGCATCGGAATCCTTATCGGAATATTCATTTACCAAAACATGATGGAATAATGTTCCTAGGTAGTGATTTCTCATCATCTACACAGCATTTAACTTAACATACCTATTGTCATTTTATTAATTCCTTGAATAATTCGATTTATTAATCATTATTATACAGGGTGTATCTTAATACCACCGAAAACACAAGGAGTGATTCTGTGATAAATGAAGGTGGGTAGGTATTCTGTATGAAATTTGTTGAAAAAAAAAGCTCCACATGAAACTTGGTGATTATTTGGCAATAAAACTGCACATTTTGAATTTTTTTTTAAATCAGAAGTATGCTTAGAATATTTCAACCCTATTCAACCGGAGATTCTTTTTCTTAAAATTTGTCTTTCAAAAAACATTTAAAACTCTTTTACCTTCAATTTTTTTCGAATTCCTACTTGGTCATTGTCCTTGTTCTTTCAATAGAAAATTATTTATCCAAAAATATTTTAGATTTCAACCCCTTCTAAACACACTTCAGAGTTGAAATCATTTCAAAATTTAACTTCAATTGACAAATGAAATTCCACTCTTCAGCATTATATACAGAGGAAATAAAAAAGAAAAACATAATTTTTGTCACAGAATCATTAAATTTTTTGGTGTTATTTAGATACTATAATGAAATAGGTAATCAATTTCTAATTCAACTCTGCAATAATTTTCCATCTCATTCATTTTACTGACTTTACATGATCACAAATTGAAAATAAACAAACATTTGGAATATCAAAGAAAACATTTATTTTCCTCATTGTTCTTTCTATACATCAAGTAGCAATTGGGTATTTTTACATCTCTATAATTAGGTATCATTAATGAAGTTCTGAATAGAACCAAAATATTTCAAGACATAAAAAAAAATAGCTTAGAAAAAGTGAACTGGTTTCAAATCTTCCATTCACAATTAGGTACCTACATAATAACATATGCAGTGAGAGGACAAATACAGTAAAAGAATATGGTATTCAATTCTCCAAGAATACAAATCCTAAAAATACAATTTGAAATACAGTTGACACAACCATAATCATTAAGAAACAAAAAATATCATTCTACCATCTAAAAATGAAATCAGTTCTTGAAAACCCCTCCCTAGTACCTGTCGCCGGGTGACCTGGAGCGGTATCTGTCTCCACCACCACCACCGCCGCCACCACCTCCATATCCTCCATCTCTCGAGAAGGAGTCATTTCTCCGACCAAAGTCTCGGCCTCCGAATCTATCGCCGCCCCCTCGACCACCTCCGTAGCCACCGCCACCGAAACCTCGGCCTCCACCACTGCCTCCTCTGCCCCCCCTGAAGCCACCGCCCCCTCGGCCTCCGCCGCCACCACCACCCCCACGGGGGCCTCCCCTTCGCTCTCTGGCAAGCTCGACTTTCAGTTGGGAGCCCAAGAAATCAGTGCCGTTCAGGTTATCGCAAGCTGTTTCGGCGTCAGTCATACTGCCGAATTCGACAAAAGCGAAGCCCGGTGGGTTGACTGCCACCCACACGGAGTTCAGCTTTCCGTATTTCTCAAATTCTCCTTCGAGATCCTCCTTCCTCACGGACTCGCTCAGTCCTCCAACGTAAACTCTAGCTCCACTACCTCTATTCCGGTCGCCCATGATTCTGTGGAACGTAGAAGTTCGGTGATAACATGTGAAAATTCATCAGTCGTTTGGGCGAATACGTACTTTTGGATGCATAGGGTAAAATGTTAAAATTGAAATGTGTGATAACGTGGAATTTTTTTTTGGCGGTAACATGACTAATACTACTCAAAATACTCGAAATGCGTAGAAAGTAACTTCCAGGTATCGAGTATTTCGTCGATGTACGTTGTTGATTGCTCTGTTCTTTGTGAAGGTGAAGCTAATCGCAAATCGTAAATCGCAAATCGAAAACAAAATGTCGGGCAGCAAGGCGTTGTTTGTGGGTATACGGAAAATACGATATTCGCAGCCAAAACTAATATGATACGTAGAATGCGTGGTTCGCAGAACAAATTTTGCAGTAGTTACCCAAATTCGTAGTCTTGGAATTAAAATTCTTGAAATATTTTCACTTTTTTCGAAGAAAACTCTTTAGGACAATCGCGACACAACACAAGCAGTCGAAGAAGGAATGAGAAAGAAAGAAACAAGAAACATCGCCGGCCGCGCGCCGGATGCCGCACTCACAGAACACAGATTGCACAGACACATAAGGTCTGTTCGCTGTTACTGTATGAAATTTATATGTACACTTTTCGGCGTAGACGAGTGGAGTGGAGTGTAGCAAATTGATATCTTGTTCGTTGCTTATGGTGTAGTCAAGTGTATTGGTATTTCGCGTATTCCAATTGCATGGTGAAAACTCTTGGAACTTGAAAAAAAAGTCATTTCTTGAATTCAGATGGTGAATCAATTACAAGAATAGCGAATTCCATGGGCAGGAACTTGGAGTGTTTTTGCACTCAATGTATATGTTTCCTACAATGGAATTCGGTATAAATAAGATGCCTAGAGACGTGATGCACAGACACAACTACTTGGGTGCACAGAAAGTTTGCACCAGTGCGACGAGTGAAAAATGACATAGCATTAGGTCTGTTCGTTCTCAATCTGCTAGACATGATTTATTTTCCATAGTTATTTCTGTTCATCGCACTACATAAAAAGAGATGATAAAACGAAAATATCAAGTCTAGCAGCCTGAGCAAACACAAACGAACAAGGCTAATATTAACAATAAGTGTGTTCGTTTGCGTTGCTCAACTTGCTAAAGCTGATTTTGTTTCCGTAGTTGTCTCTGTTCACGGCATAATGTAAACAGAGAGTCATAGAAAAAAATCAAGTTTAGCAGGTAGAGCAAACATAAACGAACAGGCCTAACAATTCAAGATAGCATTATCGAGATCATTGAACTCGTAAACAACTCGTGAAGCAATCGTGTCTAACCACCTACTATACATTGTAATTGTTCTTGATTTTTGTGGATTCTAGTTATTTTCCAACTTGTATTCCAACAATTCAACATTCACGATACAGACTCATATTTCTTCATGTGACCTGAACAATTTCAGCTGATTTCTTCCAGAATCATTATGAAACATCGAAATGTGCTGGCAACTTTATCAATTCGTAGACGTGGAACTAGCTGTAACTTTTTCTGCACTGAATGTTTTTTGTCTTTATTCATAATGTATAATTACTCAAGGATGGATATACATTATACACTGAGCCTGGAAAATGGGTCAGTATGATGTCACAATGAGGGCTAAACCGCGCCACCGAAACATGAGGTCAGGGTTGGTAGAACTGATAAATATACTTCATATTTTCGTGTAATTTTGCCTCTAGCTACGATATCTTTTCATTCATCAATGTAAGAATTGGTCGTAAAGCTCGACATTGAGAGTAGTAAGAAAACGTAAGACGACTCATATGTGTTTCGATAGCTTGAGGTTTTCTATTCAAATATTCTACATAATTATTTTCGAATATTTAGGGATTTTCGACTTCATGTTTTAGCAATGACGGATAAATATCTAGACTGTCCGATGGGTCATCCCGTCTAGATATTTAGCCGTCATTGGTTTTAGGAGCGCCAACGTGACATGTTAGGTCCGTTCGCTGTTTCTGCATGAACTTTATATTGTACACTACATATTTCTACAATCAATGACGGCTAAATATCTAGACTGTCGGACGGGAGAATATGATTGCATATTATGTGAATTATTGCATTTCAAAACAATATCATCTGAACTATGGCTCATGGCTTATTGAGGCAGCAAAAAATCGATCGTCTGTGAATTATAATATTTGAGATCGGGATTTTCACTCTTATAATTTAGAGTAATAGATACATGAATTTTTTCTAATTATGCAAATGGCGTCATGCAGAACTATTGAAAACGAAAGTGACATGCTTTCAGGAAACTTGCAAATCATTCAACACGTTCATTTAGTTCACTTCAACTTCAAAACCTTCAACTCCTTCAACCTTTCTCTATGGTGAACTTGCTGAATAAACAGAAATGGAAGTTTCATTCATCACAAAAAATTTAAAGAGAATACCAACTCACATATTTTTTATTTTGTAGAACATAATACAAATACAAATCAATAAATAATGAGGTATATATCATCAATTATTCTTCCTTCTGCCACATCAATGATGACTAAATGCATCATAACTATGGTGGGAGTGTCAATTGAGTAACAATATCAGAAAAATCAAAATGTAAGAGTAAAACCCCTGACGAAACGCATCGTCCACAACTTTATTGCATAAAATGATGATGAGGAATCCCATCAACATATCACATGATGGGAATCCTTTGAAAGGGACACTTCTCTCAAATAGTTTTACAATATAACTTTCAAGCATGATTCCTTTTACAGGATTGCCAACAGGTCAACATGCAATGATTTACTCACAAAAAAATGTGGGGTCACATCAACAATTGAATTTTATGTTTCATTCTGGCTGGTATATTGGTGGTGGAAACAGAATAACGTTAACAAATAAAACGATAAACTTCATGACCATGTATGAGATAATTTACATAAGAAGTTATATTTGTATATTGGGGATCCGAATGATTTCAAAATCATGATACTATAGAGTTAAGAATCTAGAAGATGAATCTACTAATATTTCGAGCAGTGATTGTGGTGATTGGAGAAACTTTTCTAAGATCAAGAGAATTCATTTTATCTGGGAATGAACATATGAAATCTGTCTTACTTGAAAGAATCATGAACTAATGAACATCATGATCATGATGAAAATGTCTTCTAAATGTCTTTCACTTTATATAAGGAAGATTATGTCTTTCACTTGTCTGAAGCAGATCAGACAAGGTTAGACGATAATTCCATCAATCAGAACTGGCGTGATTTAACACTTAATAAACCAAAATATGCATGGATCTGTTGCTTGTAATTTCGCAATTTATGTTTACCGGAAGTGAACTCAAATCAATTGTAGAACAGACCAGAGGTGAATCACATCACAGCGCCTTCCACCATTCAGCCTAACATCTAGCAATATAAACCACCTAGAAGAATCGTCTTCACGAATTGCTGGTCAGGCTGGCCATGAGCAGCTCCATCTTGTGCAGAAAATTCCTGCCCTCCATCTTGTCCAACCTGACGTCCCTGAACTGGCCGCCCAGGTGCTCCCACTTGCGCTCGGTGACCAGCCGGCTGGGGAAGAAGTCGGTGCGCGGCGAGTGGGCGACGGAGACCTGGGGCCCCGCCTGGGGCTCGCAGCGCACAGCGATGATGCGGTCGCCGGTGGGCGAGGAGAGCAGGCAGGAGCTGGAGTTGCCCAAAGGCTCCACCGCCCCCGTACCTGCGGGAATTAAGGACATGTGGTTGATTGAAGTTGCATGAGATTTTTTCGGTCAAAATATGAAAAAAAGGGGTCCATAATATCCTTGATTATTCACGCTAATAAGATTTGTGAAATGTTGAAGTCAAATTTCGAATGTCAAAGTTATTTTATCTTGTTGAACCGTTTTTTGTATGTTCTGGTTCCCACGAAAAGGGATATTCTGTAATGTTCAGAGAACATCGTGAGAACCAAGGGAAATAAGGTAGGAATTGGTGTTCTTCTTAAACTGGAGGTTATATGCCTCGGGAAACACCTCCTTTGCCAAAGTGTTCCAGAGCCTTGCTGTTCGTTGGATGAACGAGTCTTTGGAAAGAGATGTTCTGCAGGTCTCCAATATTGCCCTTTTTTGGACAGATTCCAACAGTTTCAGGGTATGTTTGGGTGCTGCACTCCAAATATGGGAACAGTATTCCAGGACAGGTCGAATCTGTGCCTTATAGATCATAAACAGCTGACTGGAAGTGAAATAGCTCCTGGCCCGAAACAGAAAACCAAGTTTTTGGGATGCACTTTTAGCAATTATTGATCTCACGTGATTTTCCCAAGAAAGGTTATTGCTGATAGTAATACCAAGCATCGAAATGGATGTCTTCAAAGGTATGGTTACTCCTGACATGCTTATGTTTGCCACAGTGAGATCGGCTTTTCTAGAGAAATGGCATGCTTGTGATTTGTTTGCATTGAAATCTACCAAGTTATTGGATTCTCATTCGAGAATTGTTGCTAGGTCCATATTTATGTTGTCAACATTTTTCCCTCGTTTGTTTCTGATTTGCCTTGCTGATATTGAAACCCTAGAAGAGAAGGCGGTATGGAGGGTACCATCATCCGCGAAGCTGTGTACTGGACATGAAGTTGCTTCCAACAAATCGTTGATATTGAGTAGAAATAGTGTTGGTGCTAGAAGTGATCCTTGCGGAACACCAGCATTTATGGTAAGAGAGTCAGAAAACTCCGTCGATCACTACATGGAGAGACCGGTTTGAGAGGAAACTAGCTAACAGAGAACATAGCTGAGGAGGCAAGCCATAAGATGGAAGTATGGCGAGGAGTCCGTGGTGCCAGACTCGATCGAATGCTTTGGAAATATCAGGCTAAGGTTTCATCATATTCTTTAATAGATTGTTGCCATATATGTGAGACGTAAGCAAGCAGGACACCAGTTGATCTCTGATGACGGAAGCCATATTGCCTATCGTTGAGCTCGATGTTGATAGCATTCTCCATGATCTTTCAAATAATAGATAGCAGTGCGATCCGTCTGTAGTTGATGGAGGAGGTTTTTGCCTTTTTTAGGAACTGGTTGTACTCTTGCAATTTTCTAGTTGGACGGGAATATCTCCAATTTGTAAGAGTTGTTGAACAACTTGCAGAGAACTGGAGCCACAAGCTTTGTTGGTGTTGAGACCCAATGAAATCTTCCTTATAGTACGTTGGCGCAAGGTGATCTCGGGCATATGAATGTCAATTGGCGTTATGTTTGGAGGTTGTTTTCCCGATGATATCCAGAGTGGAATTTCCAGCAAATAAATGCGCAAAAATGTTGGCTTTCTCCTGGGCAGTTGTGGCTAGTGTTCCATCTTCAAGATTAATTTTGAACCGTTTTCAAGCGTGAAGTAATTATATAATTATCCCATTCATCAAGAAAATAGATAATTTCGAAATGAAAGCTTATACATCACTTGAAATATATAAGTTTTTAAGTAAACTATCTGTGAGGAGGGTGAAAAAAAGGAACGATTGTAATGGAATCACAATGAGTGGAATTTTCAATTGATCTTGACAAAATATTCAGCTGACACAAAACTAAGACATTCATAACCACCAACTTCGACGTTTCCCCGCTCCTCTACTCGTTTCCGTGGTTCGAACCGTTCATCTACAAGTTTTTGAACCATATTATACTTGGTGACGTCATAACTCAAACAAGAAAATTCTTGATTTCAAATCGTTTTGATCACAATTTAACAAGAAAAAACAACTCAAAACTTCGAAATCTTGTTCACCAGACAAAATAACAAATGTCGATTTTCAGATTTCTTCGACGTACGCTGAAAAGAGAATAGTAGTGACTCAGGAGCGTACATATATTTTTCTGAGAGGGTCGAGATATCTTATGACCTATGTTATAATTTGGCTGATATTCTAAAGATCATCTTCAATTCATTTTGTACCCACCCAAATGATTGGAATTCCCCAAAGCTTGCCACCCCATCGTCTTTGCGAGCGCCTGTACGGCCACGATCTGATGCTGGCTGATGTGACAGAAAATCAAATCTCTCAGCTCCTGAGGCTCGTAGCTCATGTTCATCACTTTGCCGTCCCTGGAAAAAGCGTTAAAAATTTTATTCAGACGCCATTTTGAGATACGGCGTTTTCAATCGGAAACAAATGCAGTTGTACTGCAATGGGCCTCTCCAGAATCGTAAAATTTTACCAATTTTCGCTTTAATGATATAAAGGGAGATAAAAACGTTATCCTGACCCACACATTTATCAAGGAAATAGAACAAAGAATGAAATATTCAATATTGAAAATGCTATTTCAATACCTCTGAATTCAAACACTATAGAGCTGTGATGTCAGTATCTTCTTGCAGTTTGATTGATTGGAGTTTGTGACGGCTGAAAAGCTTGCCGCTATTGCCAGAGGTCTCTATGAAATTCTTGAATTCATCTAATGTGCAAGATGGTGCAAGGAATGCCATGATTTGAAATTAATATGTAGTAGGTGATTACTCGATTGGTAATTCACTGGTGATCACATTCAATTTATTCTGAACTCCGACATATATTCCATATTAATCACAAAATCAGTAAGAAAAAAAAAACTGATGATGGCATTTAACAATAAGACGCTTTTCATATGGTTTGGTATGAGTTATAATGCCATGATTTTGGAAAAAAATTCATTGCTAATGTTGCAACTATTTTTATATTCTCTGCATAACTTCTCTGTTCTCATTTCTTCTCAATATTATTGACAAGAAGACAGGAAGACAGTGATGCTTGTACTGAAATCAACCAATCAATTTGTTCCTTTCCCTATGGTAGCTAGGTAGGTTTTGGAACTGAATGTCATGAATATCTGCACTGTAATTCAATACAAATAGTTATTTATTATACAAGGGAAAAAAGTAGTAGATTTTAGCCCCAGGTTGTGTTGTCTCCCGACGCGTAGCGGATATATGGATGAAGTACCTGCAGATGCACTTGAGGCTCTTCTCCCCCACGTGGATGATCAACGGGGTGCGGCACACGGCATCGTATCCGTGCGTCGAAATGTGGATCTTGACGCAGGAGTGCGTCGGGCTGTTCAAAGTGTTCCAGTGCGAGGAGATGAGCGGGTCCTTGACCTCCTTGGCGATGGTATCGAGCACGTACTCGGTGCGCATGCGCATGATGAAGTGCTGCGCCTGCTGCACGATCTGCTCGAGTAGCGTTTGCGTTTTCGTCATCTCCAACAGTTCGTGTCTATCGGCGGCCAGCGGGCCTAGGATTCTCATTTTTCTCAATAAATTGCCACATTATATCAATTTTATTTCTCTTATGTGAAGTGTCTTACTGAAATTGGCGCAGTCGCAAGGATTTTTTCACGGAATTTTTAACAGAGATTTGACTTCAATTCAGCAGTACCTACTTAGTCATGAAAAATAGCTGAATTAACCTCTTGCATGGAATTAATGGTCATTATAGACACTTAAAATAAGAAACGCATATTCTGAAAAAACTGCTGCTTCAACTAAAATTGTCGCAGTTGATAGGATCTTTTACAAAAAAACTGAATCTAATCTGTACCAACAAATTAGATTTTATTCAACAATGCCAAGTGACCCCAAAAATAGCCGAACAACCTCTGAAATAAAAACACATTGAATGAAAAAATCTGGATTGTATAAATCTCTAAGTACCATTTTTACAACTTAGAGAAAAATAATATTCTGAAAAAACTGGCTATGTGAGATTTTCAGCATGGAAGTGTTTGGATCTTTGACATATCCAAGAGGTCAACTGTATCGGCGGCTAGCTGTCCTATGATTTTTTTGATTATGATTGTCCTAGTATTTCTTGAGTTGATTGCCGTGTTTGTGAGTTCAGTCTATCTAGTGGATTTGAAGCTACAAACTAGAACTGGCGCAGTCGGTAGGCACTTCCACGAAAATTACAAAAATCTCAAAATCTATTCTCACACAGTACCATGTGATCAATAACTGAACAATATTTTCATATCAGGAAAAAAGTATATTTGATGTTATGAAAACAGACCATAAGTTTTTTACGTTTTTTGTATTTTGATTCTTTTCAAGTGAACTAATTTGAAAGAGTCCGAAATAATTCGCGAAGTTGGACTTTTCTGACTTCTTCATAAATGTCACGACTCATTTCAACCCTGCTACTCAGTGACCAAAAATAACTGAACTATATTTTCCTATCAGGAAAAAATTATATCTGATGCTATAACTACAAATCATAGCACTATTATGGTTTCATTGTCACTCATCTTCATCACTAAGTGATATTTTTCTAGCATAATCGAATTAGATATAGTACTTCCAATGTCAGATCAAATTCAACAAAAATATGGATCACTTTCAGAACAACTATTTGCAGTAGAAAGCAAGCTTAGGAATAACGATTTTCAGAAGGCTAAGTTTTTTTGATAGGACAGAAATTAAAAATGACATAAAATTCAAGAGATTTATTTGAAAATACCTTGGATGTATTGATAACCAGAATAACAACCTCAGTGTGGATTTTTTTTTTTGTGATGAAAATCGAACCAACATCACCAGAATTCTAAATTTCTTTCAATACCATGAAAAAAAATCAAAATTACAACCACAGGAGTGTACCCAATATTATTCCTGTAGATTTAATGACAGAGTTTCTTACCTGCAAGCATCCTTTTTTTGGATGGCCCCAAAGGCCCGGTAGCAGGGTGTGGGAATGGGTGATGGGTGTTCTTATGGTGAACTTCCCTCAGTAACTGATGCAAAGAATGCTCCAAAACATGGTCATGGTCACTCTTTGAAGGAGGGGGAGTCTGTTGCTTTTTATCACCTGATGTGGAATGTCTAAGACCTGTATATAGAAGACTAAGCTTTAAGAATATAATAATTTAAATTGAATAATATTCTGCTGATAAATATAATTTTATAAATTTGATTTCTTAATTTTTTCCAGCATTCCCAAATTATGCAAACAGATATTCCTAGATGTGTGTATATTTTTGGGGCATGCCTGGTTTCCTGAATAAATAATCATTTGTTCCTAATGATGGGATATACAATTACAATAAAAGAACCAAGAGAGATATACATTTTCAATCAGTCAAATTAATGTATGTATTAATGTATGGGCCCCAGATTATTCAATATTCTCCTCAATATTGCCAATAATAGTTATGATTGAAAGAATCATTGAAACAGTTTCTATTCTATATCAGATTATCTCAATAAAAAGATTCAATTTTTGTATTTATTCAAACCATACCTGCAGATTCTTACAGAATATCATACTATTATATTGAATATTAAAGCCTCTGTTGATGAATGTTCTTATTACATTTAATGAATTGTATTTGTATAATATTTTTATATTAGTGAATGTATGTTTGTGATAATTCGATAATTGTGAGGAATTTAAATGCAATGTGAAATTTGTGAATTAAGGATGAATAAAGATTATCATTTTTGAACTACTCTTTCCCAAATTCTGACCTCACTACAATTTTTGAGAGATATAAAGCTTTTCCATATTGTCCTACATTGTGAACTTCGAAATTACTGTCTATTGATGTTTGAAGAAGACTCAATGGCAGAAACTAGTTAAACAAATGTTGAGTGATGGATGGTCATTGCAAATAGATGACAAGAAATAAATAGAATTACATCATAAAAATCACTGTTGCATCTTAATTCTATCAACACAGCTGAATTTGAGGATAATGATTGACTTACCAATGATGAGTTGAATTCCAGGAAGCACTGTTGCCATAATTTGATTCCCCACCACCATATGTGGTATAGGAGCCTGTAATTGAACTGCCTCTTTAGCCAGTTGATTGAACAGCTCTTTGCAGAAAAGCACATTCTGTGCTGCCTCCAGCTTTTGTTGCCAATGCATGTCAGGATTAGAAGGAGGAGGTGCAGTTCCCATCAGATTGAGATTCACACTACAGAGATCTTCTTGATCTAAAAATTGATAATTAATCATAATATGTTGAACTGATATCATTTCATTACCTTTCTGGCACAACACTTCAATGTAGGCAACTCCTTGTAATTCAGTTGGTATAGAAACTCTCAGAGCACTATTAGGTTTTGATGGAATTGGTCCCCCAGGTAAGGGACTACTAGGAGGACTGCTGGGTTTTTCTTCATCCTCTGCCTTTGTTACCTCAAAAGTGCCAGTTTGCAGATATTTAGACCCTGTAGTACGGTAGCTGAGATCACCTATTATGGTGTTTGATACTTTTTTCAAACGCCAATTTTGTCTAAGCCTTAAGAGCTCTATGTGGAAGTCAAGGGTAGTTCGATTTCTTGCAGCTTCTGTCTGGGAATTTTTCATTTTTTCAGCACCAGCCAAAAGTACATTAGCAGCACCTGAAAATTGAACATTCAAATCTCCATGAAATAATATAATTTGAAATTTCACCTCCAAGAGCCTTCTTTCTAGCATAAATTTGCACCATAGGCTTTGTTTCTAAGGGTTCTTGTTGAACAGGATCAAGTACTAAGTACCGTTTTTCCTTTGCAATAGCTAGAACATCTGCCAATACACAAATTTCTTGCAAGGAACTCCTCAACTTAGTTCGTACTGAATCCCAAGGCCATATAGACGACTGGAATGCATCTTTGCTATCTGTATCTGATTTTGAATCTTCACTGGATTCTTCCTTTTTTATGTCTACTTCTGAGGTTTTACTGAAATCTATTTTTTGAGCATATTTGGCGAGGCTCTCAGACAAAGTGAGTGGGCTGAAATGAGTAAAATATTGAGGAAATAAACAATTGAAGAGTATTACAACTAACGGTTGATATATTTCTGTTCCATCATATTGTATTTCCTGGATTTGATTCTCGATCGTAGCCTCAACTGATATGTTGACACTGTAAGACATGTTTTTTGGATTTCGTGGGCACAACTAATTCGGGACAAAATTGTACAATTCAAGAATAAAAATTTTTGTAAACATTAGAACAAAATTCGAACACTAACCCCACAAAAGTTGATTCTTCTTCTTCTCCTTTTAGATAATCTTCTTATTTTCATCTAATGAAACCATAAAGATAAAACCATATCATAGGACACATATCAAAGATTACAGAGCTGTGTTACGCTTGTGGCTTGTGTCACGCGATTTGCAAAATTTCTTCCTCTCACGTCTGTCGTCTGTCAAAAACAAAAACATAAATACGTCAAAAATCTAACCTGAACCTAAAATTTTGGAAAATTAGTGTTTCAGAATTCAGATTTGAAAATCACATATTTATCAAACTTTGAAGATGAACTGAGGTTGAACTACTTGAGCTACGGAATACTCTTGATAGTCTTCTTCCAATTCATCGAAGAAATAATGGATATAGCTAATTCATTGAATTTACCAGCAAATTGTCGGCTTTGTCTGGGACCAGGAGAATGTAGGAATATTTGTGAAATGCCCTACTACATCATTATCATCCAGAAAATAACTAACGTAATGGTAAGAACAAAAATTGAAATGAGATATTACAACTCAACATAGCATAATTAATATCAAATATTAAATATGGTTTTCAGGTACAAAACAGTGATGTTTTACCAAAGAACATTTGCAATGGTTGCTGTATAAAACTGGATGAAATCTCCCAATTTATAGAAATGTGCAATGAAAGCAATGCTACACTCAATGCACTTTATGAACCTAAGGTAATAAAGACAGATCATGTTGAATCTGGAGATGTGAAAGACACAAAAATTGAAATTGATGATGGAGATAATATTAATCAGGACACAGACGACAATGACATAAATGAATATAATGAACATACTAAAACAGAAAAAATGAATTTATTTTATAGGTCCATACAACAAAATGAAGACACAAATGATAAAAGTATTTTGGCCAAATGCAGACTATGTTGTTGGATAGGTAAAGATGATAAATACTTGAAGCAACATGAAAGGGAACACCTTAATTCTTCTGGAAGATGGAAATGTATCGATTGTGAGAAAACCTACACAAAAAAATATGATTTAGTGAGGCACAGACAGATCCACACTGGCAAAAAAATTTATGAATGCATGGAGTGTGGGGAATGTTTCACACAAAGTCATGCCAAGAAAAGACATTATCTGGCCAAACACTCCACAGACATTGAAGAATGCAAGTTTGAGTGCTATATTTGTGGACAAATATCCAAGAGGAAGGATAACCTAGAAGCACACATGCTAAGCATCCACATCAAGAAACAAACAAATTCATGGTATGATAAATTGAATTCTACCTGGAACTGTTCAATTTGTGGTAAAACTTTCAGTCTGTATTCTTATCTGGAACACCATTCTCTTATCCATGAAGGAAAAAAACAGAAAAGAACCAGAACAAAATCAGACAGGATGAAAGTTTCTCTCTCTCAGAGCTTCTCCCCAACTTTGTGTAGTATTTGTGGAAAATCTTTCAACAAGAGAAAAACATACCTGGGACATATGAGGTCAAAACATTCGAATAAGTCAGCACCTCCAGGCCCAAAAAAAGACAACTACCAATGTTGGCAGTGTGGTAAAATCTTCAGTGTACTGTCCAACATGAAGCGTCATATCAGGGTACACACTGGGGAAAAGCCATACACTTGTAAGTTCTGTGGCAGAACTTTTGCTCAGCACAACAGTTGGCATGACCATGAGAATATCCATACTGGCACTAAGCCCTATAAATGTGATTATTGCCATAAAAGCTTCACTCAAAGGCCATCATTGAAGAAGCACTTGAGGTCTTCCATACACAGAAAGATTCACTGAGAGATCTGCTTGGACAGAATAATGAGTTTAATTTTCTAGGAACAGAAGATGGAATTACTGAGGAGATTGCTATGACTGCAGGCTGGAATAGATAGTGTTTTCTTGGAATTCTTGTAGTTGTGTGTTAGTAGTAGGAGTTTGAGTTACTATAGTTGCAAATTGAAGTCTTGAATAGCAGAACCAAGACAAAACACACACTCAAACTCAGATTCACTGATTTTATTATGCAGTATAGATAGGTTATGATGTTAACCATAGCAATATTTATACATCTCTTGAGGTCAAACATCTAGGATATTATAATGGTCAAAGTATTATTGAATTGTATTGATTCAATTGTACAAAAGTACCTAATATCACAACATGAGAACCTTAGATGGTTTTACAACTCTTTGGATGGATGTATGTGATAACATGATTTGATAAATTCTGGAGTTTATTCAGGATGAATAAAAGTACAATTATACAATACAATATAATGAAATTGTTTGACTTTATGATTTTTATTATTTTGTATTTTTTCAAGTCAATCAGGAGAGAAGTCTATAATATATTGCATCCAAATATTACTTTTTATGATGCAAAATACAGTGCTGATTCTGAATCTGCCACAAATTTGGCTCAAATATTCCTGACAGAATTCCTGAAATTGATGTTTTTGTACTCCCTTTTTATGTCAATCACGAAAAAAAAAGCAAAACTTCCAAATGACTGATCAAAAATTGAGGGCCGATTCCGAATTTTTTTTCCAAATGACATGGCTTTTTCTCCAGATGACATAGAAAGTGCTTTTTAATGATTGACCAGCACAAAAGTTGTACTTTCTCTGCCTAGGCAGAAGAAGTTTGTTGCTATGCAACGTTGCAATAAGTAATGATCCCAAACAAATTGGTAATTATAATTGACAATTACTTTGTGTAAATACAAAAGGATGGATTATTTCGAGTTTGCGTGAAACTGGACGAATTTGGAGACAACATTATATGTTTTACACAGCAGAAAAGCAGATATGCCTTGGCTGAATTCCTATAGCTTCGCTATGTTGGGCTACGAACTATCAGCCGTGGCATTGAATATTGTGCTTTCCTGCCACTTCCTGCCTAATAAACAATAAATAACTATTTTCTCCAAGCGGTAGGTGAAGCCTGACTTTTCTTTGATACCTAATATGCACGAAAAGTGTACAGGAACAGAATATTAAATTTCACTTTTCTTTTTGGAGTTTCGGTAGGTAACGTTTATCTGCTTTAGTTTTCTACATATAAATGGAAAATAATTCTTGATATTGATCTTTCCGTGTTTGCGTTTTTTGACACTTCTCAGTAACAGAAACTTTCCAGAAAATGTATGAGTTACACAGGGCGTTATCTAATTGAAGATTTAAAATCTTTACGATTAACGATATCGAACAATATAAACAGGACTGTGGGCACTCGATTTTGATAACCCGCTAACCCGATAAGATTTTAGCATAGATAAAAGATAAACTACACTCAAGGTAGGTGAATACAATATGCGCATGCGCATGATTGCTATATGCGCAAGGGCTGTATAGTTTGGTTGTTTCATGAACGACGGCAGCACACATCATACACACAGTTTTCTGTTAATCTACTGTCAGATTTTAGTCGGCTAGACAGCAAGTTGCAAGCTTTATCAGACTGGTGTCGCTGAAAATCATTTTTTGAGGACGCCGGTATAATATTTCTACGTTGTTTCCAGTTGTTTCTTATTATTGAATTGTAAAAGACAGTGTTAATGAACTGCAATATTTTGTGTTTCATTATTGAAGGTTAGATTGTGGTAACACCTGTGGGTAACACTCAAGACAAAAACATAACCTAAACTATAATAGGTCGCGTGCAAGAACTGTCAGATGACTGACCCTGGAGGCAAAACATATTTGTTTTCAAGTGATCGAAATAGTTTTCCACAATTATTTTGGCATATGAATCGTATTTTTCCCCTATTCATCAATTCGCTAATGCCATTACATTGTGCTGTTGTAAAATGCACAAAAACTGCAGCGGAAGATGAAGAAATCCGGATGGTACATTATGATTCAAAAGTAAGTACCTACTATAGTCACTCACATAGTTTTCATTTTTGAAATTTGGTTATTTCTCTGATTTCTCATCGGAATTCCTTCTGCAATAGGATCAGCTAATAGAAATATACCTGAAATTTCTAGAAAAATGCAAGAAGATTGGATTCATGCAATCAATCGGTAGGACTGGTCTGACATGCTGACGATCGTGTGTGTTGTAGACATTTTCAATCTATTAGCAGCATTAGCTTGTATTGCAGAAGTGGCAGAAGGCAGAAGGAATTTTAATAAGGAATGTCAACATTTCATAATGCTAACTATGTGAGATTACTATTTACCTGAAAAATCATATTCCTTAGTCTCTTGCTGCATTTTTTGTGCATTGTACAACAGCACGATGCGAAGGCATGCTTGAATTAATGAATAACGCAAGAAACACGATTCGTATGCCAAAATATTGTGAAAAACTATTTCAACCTTTTGATTCCTCTGTAACCAAATAAAAAAGTGAGGTTGTGTTTCAATAATTCACAGAAGAATGAGGTTGTGTTTCAATATTTTGCCTCCAGGGTCGGTCTTCGTGCACGCGACCTATAGGTCGCGTGCAAGAACTGTCAGATGACCGACCGCATATGAATCGTATTTTTTCACTATTCATCAATTCGCTAATGCCATCACATTGTGCTGTTGTAAAATGCACAAAAACTGCAGCGGAAGATGAAAAAATCCGGATGGTACATTATGATTCAAAAGTAAGTACCTACTATAGTCACTCACATAGTTTTCATTTTTGAAATTTGGTTATTTCTCTGATTTCTCATCGGAATTCCTTCTGCAATAGGATCAGCTAATAGAAATATACCTAAAATTTCTAGAATAATGCAAGAAGATTGGATTCATGCAATCAATCGGTAGGACTGGTCTGACATGCTGACGCGATCGTGTGTGTTGTAGACATTTTCAATCTATTAGCAGCATTAGCTTGTATTGCAGAAGTGGCAGAAGGCAGAAGGAATTTTAATAAGGAATGACAACATTTCATAATGCTAACTATGTGAGATTACTATTTACCTGAAAAATCATATTCCCTAGTCTCTTGCTGCATTTTTTGTGCATTGTACAACAGCACAATGCGAAGGCATGCTTGAATTAATGAATAACGCAAGAAACACGATTCGTATGCCAAAATATTGTGAAAAACTATTTCAACCTTTGGATTCCTCTGTGAACAAATGAAAAAGTGAGGTTGTGTTCCAATAATTCACAGAAGAGTGAGGTTGTGTTTCAATAATTCACAGAAGAATGAGGTTGTGTTTCAATATTTTGCCTCCAGGGTCGGTCTTCGTGCACGCGACCTATATATGCACATGGTCTACAGTAGTATACCTAAGTCTACGTCAGCACCTAAAATAAGTGTCAGATGAATGAAATTTCTGATATGCGTCCGTGCAGTATCTGCCAAAAAGATGATCTTGAGGATTTGTGTGCGTTTAATAACTAAAGGACATAAAATACATTTTGATTCGTTCAATTTGCTAATAATAACTACTCAAAAATAATCATTTCTATTCTACTTATCGTATTTTCTTATTTTTCAATAAATCTCGACTTTTGTATGCATGGCCATATTGTCGACACCCGTGTTGGCGATATGGCCATCTACACTTTTCTTCTTCAAATTGGATAAAAAATGTTACAAACCAATTTTTCATGAAGTGATTGCCGTAAATTGTTATTCACAATTACATATTTAACAAACATAATCGCTTGAAGTGGGCATATTGTATTTACCCACCATATAAAGAAATAACCGCCCCAGATAACACACATTGATCCCAGAGATATTTTACAGAGGGCATCACAATAAGGAATGCTATTCCGGACTCTTTTGGTCATTCTATGATTCACATTATGATGGAAAATTAAACACACAGTACGGGTTACATAAATAAAAAAAGAATGTGGGGTTCCTGAGGGAGCCTCACAAATTCACCAAAATTTCGAGTATCAAATCCAATAAAATATGTGATGAATATTGCGAATGTTTTCCAAAATAAAGTGCGTCCCCTGGCAATACCAATGATGTTTTTTTGTAACTCGCATTGTTACCTATAGCGAGACATGAATATGATTGTGACATCCCAGGGATGTTTGTGTTTACTGTTGCCTGTATCTATTTTATCCACTTTTCAATCTCCCCCGCTAACCGTACACCACAATAAATAAAATATTTATAAGAATCCCCACGCGTGTTTTCCACTTTTCCAAAAGCAATTTCTCCTCCGCAGCGCACACTATGCGATGCGAATAAAGGTTGGCGAGATTGCGAATGGAGGGCATCAATCTTATTCGTCGGCCTCCAGCCTTTTTCCACGTTGAAGTACACAAATACGAACGATAAATCAATGCGAAAGAGCTGTCACTGGCTAGGAAGCCACACCAGTTGTGTGCTCGGCTCGCAGGAATTTCCCTTCTTGTTGCTGCTACAATTTTCCGTGTCCATTATTTTCTTCTCGCTAGCACAAAGAACGACTTTTCCAAGAAGTATTGAGTATCCAGGTTCTGACGGGAATTTCTTCTTCCGATTTTAATATTGGCCTTTGCTTCCATGATGGCGCGCATTTGGCGGGAATTTGCGTTCTTCTTATTCCATTTCAGTTTCATTCAGTATTTCACCCAATCATTCAGAAGTGGCAAATACCATAATTTTAAAAAACAACAAGATTATTTGAACTTATTACTATTTAGTTGATTTTTATTTGTTCCATTCTGGTAACGGTAGTGAGAACAGAATGACGTTTACAAATGAAGGAACTTCAGAGAGAATAGGTCGCGTGCACGATGACCGACCCTGGAGGCAAAATATTGAAACACAACCCCACTCTTCTGTGAATTATTGAAACACAACCTCACTTTTTCATTTGTTTACAGAGGAATCAAAAAGTTGAAATAGTTTTTCACAATATTTTGGCATACGAATCGTGTTTCTTGCGTTATTCATTAATTCAAGAATGCCTTTGCATTGTGCTGTTGTACAATGCAAAAAAAATGCAGCAAGAGACTGGGGAATATGATTTTTCAGGTAAATAGTAATCTCACATAGTTATCATTATGAAATGTTGTCATTCCTTATTAAAATTCCTTCTGCCTTCTGCCACTTCTGCAATACAAGCTAATTGCAGAAGGAATTCCGATGAGAAATCAGAGAAATAACCAAATTTCAAAAATGAAAACTATATGTGAGTGACTATAGTAGGTACTTACTTTTAAATCATAATGTACCATCCGGATTCCTTCATCTTCCACTGCAGTTTTTGTGCATTTTACAACAGCACAATGTGATGGCATGAGCGAATTGATGAATAGCGGAAAAATACGATTCATATGCCAAAATAATTGTGGAAAACTATTTCGATCACTTGTAA